CTTCTCACTCGGTGGGGTGTAAGCTCATCCCTCCTCACTGCCCTGGCAGGTGAAGGCAGACAAAGACAGCGCCAACCTTTGCAAGCTCCAGCAAGCCTCCCGGGGTGTCAACCAGGCCACAGCCCGTGTGGTGGCCTCCACCAAGGCAGGGAAGTCACAAGTGGAGGAGAAAGGTGAGCGTGAGGCTGCAGGAGTGTAGACCTGCCCCAAAAACCTCTGCCCTTCTGTTGTCTGTGCCCCAGTGGTCTCAGCCTGCTGCTGCCCCTCGCTGCCTGCGTACCCCATGGTGGCAGACCCTGCCAGCGGCATCGGAGCTGCTGGGGGGTCTGAGCTGGGGCGCGGGGCTTGAGGTGGGGACGATGGTGTCTTTCTCCACAGAGAGCATGGACTTCTCCAGCATGACGCTCACCCAGATCAAGCGTCAGGAGATGGACTCGCAGGTAGGAGGTTCCCCCCACGTTTTGGGAAACGTTCCTGCTGGTGCCTCACTTGGGCTAATGAGAGGCTGCCTGGGCTGAGGGAGAGGTGGGTGGGGGCACCCTGCCTGACTGCCAGGCCCAGACAGCACCAGCTCATGGGGAAAGCCCAGGGTGTAAAGGCAACAGATGGGTTTGCCCAGGAGCCACGTGCAGTTGGTCCTCGAGCCTTTTCCAATGCTCACCCCATCATGGCACCGCGGCCCTTGGCCTCCTCCTGCCCTCATGTGCCCACTGGGTTGCCCCACAGCACCCACCTCTGCCTGGCATGGGGTGGCCCTGGGGAATTCCCCTTCCTGGGGTGCCCACAAAGGTCACTCTGCCTTCATCTGCCTGCACAGGCAGTGCCCACCTGAGCTCTGTCCCCTCCCCGGGACCACTTGCCATTGGAGCACTCATAGGATGTACCTCAGCAGTCTTTGGGCTTGATACTGGGGAGATAATGGGTGTGAAAGGGGAGTGCCCAGCCCAGCATGGCTTCATGCTAGCTGGAACGCCCGGGTGCTGTGCCAGGGTGCAGGGTGGCCATGGTGGGCATGATGTCCTTCAGGTGCGGGTGCTGGAGCTAGAAAACCAGCTGCAGAAGGAGCGGCAGAAGCTGGGGGAGCTGCGCAAGAAGCACTATGAGCTGGCAGGAGTGGCAGAGGGCTGGGAGGAGGACGGTGAGTGGATCCCAGTCCTGCTCCGGGGAGGAATGGGGCAGGACAGGGAAGCCCTGCCCGCAGTCCAGGCGGCAAGCAGGCACGAGTTTCATTCCTACTAGCACAAGTAGAGCCGGGGGGTCGTCAGCACACATGGGCAAAGCTGCGGGGCACCTGACCTATGCAAGAGCCTGTGGGACCTGCATCGCCCCTGCGCAGGGTGCTCGGGTGCTGCTGGGGCACTGCCACCCTGCAAAGCCCCGGGGTCCCAGGGGAACGAGGCAGAGGGATGCTGAGGCACCGCGTTGCTCTGCACCCCCTTAACCCTTCTCCCCCCCGCAGCTGCAGATTAACGCCCATGGTGCAAGCAGCCCGCAGGGGACACCCCCATGGCGGGCCGGGACCCAGCTTGGCGCAGCCTTTTGGGAAGATCCAGAATAAACCGGTGCAAAAGCCACCCCGAAGCACACACCCTCTGCGTCCCCCTCGCCCAGAGCCGCCTCCAGCGCCGGAGCACTGAGAGCCACCTGGCGAGACCCCGGTCTGGGAGTGAGGGCTCGCCAGCCTGATGCCAGCTGCAAACCGCACATGTATTTATTAGCTGCTTGGGGTTGGGGGGGGGGTCTCCGGGAGGGGGTGTCTTTAACCCTTTAGTTTTGTTTTTGCACAGATTTTCGGAACTCTTTGAGCCGGCTCTGGCTGAGCGAGAGCAGTCGGGTTTCTTTCACCTCTTGTTGCTTCTCCAGCCTTAACCCGGTCCCTGGCTCGGCGCAAACATTCCCCTGCTCCACAAAGGAGCCTGCCGCAGTGCCAAGGGCCCCGGGGGTGCTTCTGGGTCAGGAGCCAGATTTTGGGGTGCTGCTGGGCTTGGTGCTAGGTGTGCTCCCTGCTCTGCTGGGGGCACCGAGTGCCTTTGGCTGCTGGGGTGGGGGGGGGGGGAACACTCCCATGAATCGCCCCGGCAGCTGAGACCAGGGTGCCAGCAGCAGCAATGCCAGGAGCAGCGGGCAGTGAGGAGGGAGTGGGGCAGGCAGCGGGAGGGATGCTGCCATGAGTTTCTGCCCCCCCATCGTAGGTCCTCAAAATGCCCACTCTGCCCCTTGCTCTCCTCCCTCCACCCCCGAGCTGGGCTGCCCTGCCCTGACAGATCACTGTGTTCACGCCAGCAATAAACCCTCCGCAAGGTGCTGAGCATGGGTTTGGGCAACCGTGGTGCCACCACACAAGCCACCAGCTCCTGGGGGTGGGGGGAGGTGGCTCTAGAACAGCAGCACAGAGGGTTCGGGGGGCAGCCAGGATGCCCCAAAACCAGAGCGCCCCAAAACCAGAGCGCCCCAAAGCCAGAGCAAGTAGCTCCCCGGACCCACTCGCTCTGGGCTGGTGCCACCCCTGTATCCTCGCCACTCTCTTCAGTGCATGGGGGAGCGGTGCCGGCGCTGCCGTGGGCTGGGGCAGCTATGGGGCTGGCACCGGCCAGGGAACCTTTGTGCCTTGGAGCAGGGGGCTTGGATGGCAGGGGGGTGTCTGCCAGCTCTGGGCCCCCCAGCTTGTCTCACTGCGGTGGGGACAGCGGCATCAGACTGCACAATGATGTCCCTGTCCCCCACAGCTGCCCCTACGGTCCTGCTGGTGCCCCTTGCAGGGCCAGGGTGGCTTTCCCAGGCTGGCAGCACTGCTGCCTGCACCCTGCCTTCAAGCAGCTGCCACTTCCTGGGGGGGGAGACAGCCAGGCCAGCTCCCTCAGGGTGCTAGAGGTGCAGGATTTGGCCTTTCTCCCTTTAGGAAGTGGTCGCATTGCCCAGAGTGGCTGGGCTGTCACCATGTGCTTTCCCAGTGACGTCCGTCAGCCCTTGGCTGGTACTCGGAGCAGTGGGACCTGCCTGCATCCCCCTGCCCGGCCAGGCCGTCACCATGGCCTCAGGGATGCCCCCCCCCAGCTACACGCAGGAGAGCACAACTGTCCACTGTGCAGGGATCCAGTGTCCCTGTGTCCCCCAACCAGCCCTGCTGCCAACACACCCACTCCGTGTCCCCAGCCTGCTGGGGACACCTCGGGGACCCCAGGACTCCCTCCACCCCCCCCCACCCTGGGGCTCCCACAGCCTCCCCACGCCCTGCTGCGGCCGTACCCTGACCCGCGCCGGCTCCCCTCTGGATGCAATACCAACTATCCCATTCCTGCAGGACACGGGGAGCCCCAAAACCCTCCCTGCTCTTTTTTTTTTTTGTGTGTGGAGGGGGGTCTCACCTGCGCAGGTTACCCCCAACTACCTCAGGCCTCCAGGTCAGGTCGGGGCTGGGGGGAAGCAAGGGGGTCGTGGTGGTGGTGGGAGCTCGGGGGTGGCAGCACCACTCAGCCAAAACCACTTCTCCTTTTTGTATCTTGGCTGGGTGCTGGTGGGGGGAGTGTCCCCTGCGTGGTTCCCTGGTGCTGGAGGCTGGTGATGGGGATGGCAGGGATCCCCCTTCAGTGCAGGTTGGGTTGAATATTTTTTTTTTTTTTTCATTGTATAATAATAATTACTACATCGTGTGTTTTCGATTTTTCAATAAAGCCTTCAGCCCAGCTCTGCCGGCTCCGGGGTAGTTGGCAGCTGGGCTGTGTCACAGTGGGGGTCCCACAGCTCTGCCCTCTGCAAAAAATAACTTGGGGAGGTGCTGTCAAGGTAACCTGAGTGATGTCCTGGCGATGATGACCCCTTCCTGGCTCTGTCCCCAGGCCTACCCTGCACATCACCTTCCTTGGGAGGGGACCAGGAGTCGGTCCCTGCTCAGCGCCGAGGACCAGGGCTGGCATCGGCCTCCCCATTGCCCCAGTTCCACCCGAGGGGGGTGATGCTGCAGTGTGGGGACCATGCTGACCCCCTCCTGTCCTCCCTGGCTGTGCTGCACAGTCACCCTGGTAGGGCCATGGCACAGGGGTGGTGCTGTTGGGTGGCCCGTGGGGGCCATGAGTGGGGAGATGCTCGGGGGAAGGTCCCCTGCCAGGCATAACCCTGCAGCAGGACATCTGGCTCCTGGGGAGCCCTCCCACCCTGGGCAGCACCCAGCCTCCCACTCCCACCCCTGCCAGGGCTACCTGGCCCCCTGGGGTTGCAGAAAGCCCCGTGACAGCCTGTCCCTGCAGCTGTGGTCTGTCCTCGGGGACGCAGCAGGACAAAGTGGCCTTCCCGCTGTCCCCAGCGCTGCGTGGGGTGGCTCGTCCCCAGCCCTGCCGAGCAGGCCGGTGGCGGTGGCACCCTTCGGACAGGGCAGGGGGACAGGGACCGGCCACGCAGGGAGCTGCCCCCACGCCCCGTGGTGACCGGGGACAAGCGGGTGCCAGGCTGGGGCCGTGGGTGGTCAGAGATGGGGAGGTGTGGGGACATGCAGGTGACCGTGGGGACTGGGGTGATGGGGACGTGGAGGCGGGGGGTGGTAGGGGAAATGGATGGGGACATAGGGATGAGGAGGAGGGGGGGGGGAGGCGGGAATTGGGATGGGAACAAGGATTTGGAGTGGGGGTTGGGGAAATGGGAGCCGGGATGACATGGCGGGCGGGGCGGGGGCTGGGAACAGGAGGACGCAGCGGCCAGGGTGGGCGGAGACCCGAGGGGCAAGGCGGGGACAGGGGTGTGTGGAGGAAGATGAGGGACAGCGGTGGGGATGGGGAAGGCGCACACACGCGTGGGGAGGTGGGCTGGGGTGGGGGTGACGCGGGGGGAGGGCATGGCCCCGCCCGCCCCGGGAGGCCCCGCCCCGCGGCGGCGCTAAGCCCCGCCCCGCGGCGGCGCTAAGCCCCGCCCCGCGCCGCGCAGTGCATGCCGGGCGGCGGGCGGCCGGTCTCGGCGCGGCGGCCATGGCGGGGGGCGGGCCGGGCTGGGGGCGGCGGGGCGCGGCGGCCATGGCGGCGGCGCTGGCCCTGTCCCTGTCGCTGGCCCTGGCCTGCCTGCTGCTGCGGGGCGCGCTGCTGGGCGCGGCGGCGCTGGGCGCGGCGGGGGCCTGGTGCGCGATGCGGCCCGGCCCGGCCGCGCCGCGCCCGCCCGGTAAAGCGGCCGCCAACGGGCGTCCGGCCGCCGGCGCGGGCAGGGCCGCGAGGGCCCCGCCGCGCCGCCTCGGGTAAGCGGGGGGGGGGCGGGAGGGATGGAGGCGGGGATGGGGGACGGCGGGGGAGCCCCGCGCCGCGGCGGCGCTGACCTCTCTGTCTCCGCAGGGTCCCGCCGCAGGCTCCGCGCCGCCGGTACCCGCTGCCGCCGGCCCGCAGCGCTCTACCCGCCGGCCTGCCCGCCGCCCGCTGGGACGGCTGCTCGGCCAGGAGCGCGCCCTGGGTTCGCCGGGCCGGCCCGCTCCGCAGCCCCGTCACCGTCAGGATCGCCCGCCCGGCCGCCGGGCTGGCCCGCTCCCCAGCGTGAGTACGGCCGTGGGGACCGGGACCCGCTCCGCGCGTGGGCAACGCCCCAGGATCCCCTCGCCTTGACCGGGCTGACTGCGGGGAAACCGAGTGCCAGGCACTTGGCAGCCCCCCCCCCCCCCCCGGGACAGCACGCTGCCCCCGGCCCGGCAGTGACCGCTCCGTCCCCAAGCCCAGCGGTGCCACGCTGCGGGGAGGATGGTGCCATCCAAACCTCCTGCAGATGCTGTGCAGGATGAGCCCTCGCCCTGCTTCCACTGGCGTGGGGGTGGTGGGGAAGATCTGCTTCTGGAGATCTTACCTTGCCTAACACGGTGCTTTGCTTTGCCTCGCAGCCTGGAGCAGCTGGTCTCACCTGTGTCTGTCCCGGCCAGCAGCGGCCTGGACCCCTGTGCAAAAGAGACTGTGCTGAATGCCATCAAGGAGAGCAGGAAGAGGGTGGTGGAGCAGGAGGAAGGGGAGGAGCAGGCTTTTGGGAATGATCAGGAAAGCAAAAGAAGGTAATAAGCTGGCAGTCCAGGTCGCTGCCTGTGTGTTGAGAAGGTCTTAAATGGGGTAGCGCTTCAGGGGTGACAAATGGGATGTGTCGTGGAGGGTGCTGGGCCCGGGTTGGAAAAGCGCTGTGGGAATTGTGCCGCAGAGGTGAAGCATCATCCAACCCTCTGGGCTGTGTCAGAAAGCCTTCTGACAGCTCTTTTTGTCAGTGAGATCAAAAGAGAAGCAGCTTAGGTTTTTGTCAGGGCAAGCTTGTGGGTCAGGCATGTTCCCTGTCATTGCCGGGGTTGGGAGAAGCTGGGATGTGAATCGGGGAAGCCTGGCAGGGCTCTGTAGCAGGGAAGTGCTTCTGTCACCGGAGGGGTTTGCTGAGCAGGGAAACTTAGTGTGAAATGCTGATACCTGCTGTAGGCTTATCATCTCTATCCTTCAGTCGGCCCCAGGCTTCCGGGAGAGATGGGATCCCCGAGTCTTAGAGACCCCGGTGAAGCATCGCGCATTAAAAGATCTGCACGCTTTCTTTGTGCACTGTAGCTAGCAAAAGGAGGTAGAAACACAAGGGTAAACAAGAGAGACTATCCTCTGCTTTTGTTTGTCAAGGTCAGCAATTTCCAGCTCCAAGAAATGAGGTTGCAGTGTCTTTGCTGGTGCTCTGGGAAGGACAAGGTGTAAATCCTGGGTGCCAAGGTCTGCTGGAGCCTTTCTAACTGCCCGGGCACAGCGCTGCCTCGCTGCTGTTCTCTCCCCTCCTCCTCTTCGTCCTCCTGCTTGTGTACAGGGAGGCCGTTCGCCTCGTGCCCTTCTACCCCTCATGTGCCAGGGCTGCCTGCCTGGGCTCAGGCAGGGGAGCCAAGAGACCACAGAAGAGTGGATTAGGCAGTGCTGGGGGGCGTTCCTCACGCTGTGCCGAGGCTGCTGCAGCGGGATGAGCGGTGGTTTGCAGGGAAACGCCGGCTGCCTTCCTGCTGTGGCAGGGCATGCAGTCCTCTCCTCCGTCACTGGATTTCCCTCCACCTTTTGAACCTTTACCTCAGTTCTTAATTCTATTTTTTTAATACGCCAATACCTAGCTCTGCCATGAAAGTCAATTTTGAAGACATTAATTCCTGGCAAGCACGAAGAAGGCTTGTAGGCAGAAAATCCTGCGACCTTTGAGGGCAGAAAGGAGCCTGCGTCAGCTGGAGAGCGCTGGATCGCCTGCGTGATGGGGCTGGCACGCTTGAGCTTGGGGGAAGCACTTGGGCTAAGTGACAGGGCTGATCATACACCTCCAGCTCTTCTTCATGGCAGGGTTTGCTTTAAGACTTTCAGATTTCAGATCTTCACTGAACCATTGTGGGAGGGGGTATTCGGTTCCTGACTCACAGTCCAGGGCACTGGCTAGGAAGAGTTCAAAGATCTGAGTTTCCAGAAATGAGCTGCTGAGACTCTCTGAAATGTTTTGGCTTAGAATAACGGATTTGAGCAAAGATTTCATTACATCGACACTACTCTGCCCAGTAGGCAGCTGATGGAGCTGCTGGTGCTTGGGAGGAGGCAACTCAGGTGAGAGTGAGTGAGGACAAGACTAGGCGGAGAGAAAATCCACAGCAGCATGTGGATGGGGAAAACATCTGTCCTGGGGTATTGTGTGACAAGAAAAAAGCAAGGTTTGTGCTTTCTTAGTGCCGAGTCCACCTGGAAGGGGTCTTATCTCGGGGCTGGGAGGACAGCCCCTGTCTCTGCTGCCTCGGCACTACCACAGGCTTCTGCCCTCTCTCCTGCAGGCGCCACGATAGCAGTGGAAGTGGGCAGTCAGCATTTGAGCCACTGGTAGCTAATGGTGCTCCTGCCTCTCTCATACCCAAGTAAGTGCTGCTCGGGCGTAAAGCAACTGCTGTGAGGTGGGGGTGGGGGTGTCTGAAAGCCTGTGGGCTCTGGAAAAGGTGCTTTGGTTTTGCTTGTGGAGCCCAGCTTCAGGGGAGAGCAAGAGCAGCTGTGGCTGTACCTCTGGTCTGTCACTCTGAGCACAAGGCTGGTGGCCATAAGGGCTGTGCCCCTGCCGAGGCCTCTTTACAAGCCCTGCGCTGTGAAGAAGAGTGGAGTTGCTTTCCTCCACCCACCCTGCGTTTAAAGGACCTGTGGGCAGAGTGCTGGGGAGCTCATAAAATCTTCTTTAACCTCCTGTAGGCCTGGCTCTCTGAAGAGGAGCCTTGTCTCACACTGTCCAGATGACTGCTCAAACAAGAGGTCGCGCACCTCTTCCATGAGCTCCCTCAACAACACGTACGCTGGCGGGATCCCCAGCTCCATCCGCAATGCCATCGCCAGCTCCTACAGCTCCAGCCGGGGCCTCTCGCAGGTAGGAAACACCCTGCCAGAGGCAGCACCCGAGCCGAGCGCAGAGTGGCTCGACCCTCTGGGATCGCCCCGTGTAAATCAGACCCTGGGCTCATAAGAGGAGAGTGGTGGTTGTTGCTGGGTGCCTGGCAGTGAGCACTGTGGGGAGGCTCCAGCGCAGCTCAGCCAAGCACTGTCGTCTCCTCCTGGGTTAGGCAAGCTACTGGGCCAGCAGCAGCAGCAGGCACTGATGTTACTTGTTCTCCAGTGCACACTGCCCGAGGAATCCCCAGGCTGAGCTGTCCTGCTGCAATGTTTGTTTTACACTGAAGCAAAAAGGAGACTTTTTTTTCCCTCCTGCCCACTCAACCTTGGCCAGTCTGCAAGGGTGAATAGATGGAGGTGAAAGGAAAAAAAAAAAAAAAAAATCACCATGCTGCACTGCCACCTTTTCAGCTGGAGTCAGCAAGTATTGGAGCTGTGCACTCCCACTTTGACCCTCAGCAGCTGCTGAACTATAGTAAAACACAGCTTACATCCTGGGTCAGGCTTGCAGATGTGATGGTGGGACATAGTAATGGCTAATGCAGCTCTGCAGTCTGTGTGGAAAAAGGTTTCCTCTGGGTGGGGCAAGTCTAAAACCCTTGAGGTGGGATCTGTTAGCTCAGAGCTCCTGGTGGAGAGGTGGCCTGCTCCTGCCAGAGCAGCCCCACGCAGGCGAGGGTGTGTGAGGCAGCTGGGCAGCCTTTGCCTGTCCTGCACAAAGGCGAGAGCCAGCATCTGACCAGCAGCATTCTCCCTCCCTGTCCTCTTGGCCAGGCTGTAACAAGCCTGGAGGCTGCCTGCTCCCAGAGTAGATTCAGTTTGCGGTGGCCAGACTTTATGCTCCATGGAACGTGGAAGGGAGTTAAGCAGCATTGAAGCAAAAGAGGCTCTGGGCTTGTTAGCCACGGCCCTAGGAGGCGGGATTTAATCTGCAGGTGAGCAGGAGGATGAGAGGCTGTGCTCCCTGCTAGCCCCCATACTGAGTTACTGCTGGTCTCTGCGTTCCAGCTCTGGAAGAGAAGTGGCATGAGCATGTCCCCGGCGTCCAGCCCAGCGTCCTCCCGCTCCCAGACGCCAGAGTGGCCTCTCAAGAAAGCCAGGTAACTCACCGCTCACCTGGCAAGCGCCCACTCATCGATGCCATCTGGGAAGAGAGCAGTCGCCTTCCCAGCCAGCCTGACGCCCGAGTCCAGCTCTCCACCGGAGCTGGGACAGTCCAGGCCCCCTTCTGAGATGTGGCTGCTGGGTCACCCACTGGTGTGGAAACCCCCCTTGTTGTGTCGATCAGCATCTCCGCTGCCTTGTCACACTGCAGTCTCGGCAGCAGTGCTGAGCTGCACCATCCCTGCCCTGCTCCCAGACCAGGTTAGAGATTCGAGGGCTCAGACTGCCACAGAGGCGACCTCGCCTTGTGGTGGTGCGGCCTGGGTTGCTGGTTGCCAAAACACTGGGAGAAGAGAGGCCCTGATTTTTTTGCCATCTCCTCAAAATCAATTCGCAGGAGCTACAGCAGGGTTGTATTTTAATGCCTGCCTCGGGGTGCAGGCCCTTGTTCTCCTCTCCCAGCTCAGAGAAGGATCTGATCTTATGTCATAACTAAACCAGACACAACCTCCCACCCTGGTGACAGGGTGGGTCCAAGCCAGCGACCTGCGAGGGGCAGGTTGTCCTGAGGTCTGTTGTTTGGCGGAGGCAAAGAAACACACTAGGGTGCTGGTGGGAATCCTTCGCCTGTTTGGTCTCGTACCGCTCACTGGGGATGGGGCCAAGCCTGGAGTTGACCCTGACTGTCTCTTCTGCTTGCGCAGGGAAGAGGAGTTGCATCACTCCAACACTTCCACTCCGGTGAAATCGGACAAGGAGCTGCAGACAGAGAAAGGTGAGCGTAGGGGGGCCCCAGCTCTGTGCCCGGGTTGGATGGGCCACTGGTGCGAGCAAGCAGCAGGACAGGAGGTAGCTGAAGTCTGCAGGTGGGATTAGCTGGAGATGTCACCTGGAAACTAGGAGCGTGCTGGTACCAAGGCAGTGGCACTTCTGCTGGACTCAGCAGCTGCCCTAAAGGGGTTTCCAGGTGATAAGCAAGGGGTGCCAACAGTGTCAGCGTGCTAGCAGATGCCTGGGGACTGGCTTGCAAGGGGGAATGCCAGCCCCCAAGCCAGCATGGGTCCAGGTGTCGGCCTTGGGCCAAGATCTGTGGTACAAGTAGCACCCCAATTAAATTCCAGGCTGAGTTTATTCCGCTGCTTCCTCAGCTAAAACAGAGAGGAAATCCTTTGTGCCCATCGCAGCTGGGGTCCCACGGCACAGCACTCAGTGTGGTTCACACAGTGTCTGGTTTGTGGTTTGGAGAGGCAGCACGCAAGGACTGTCTGCGGAGGTGGGAAGGGGTTGCTGCCCTGTGGAGCCCCAACAGGCTCTTGTGGCAGACTGTCCTGGCACACATGGCCAGCAGCTCTTCTGGGGCATCGCAGCCTTGTCCTCAGCTTCAAGCCGCGCCTCTGGCTCTGCCCTCTGAGATGGGTCATCCAGAGAGGAGTCAGAAGGGACAGCCCTGTTGGTACAAGCCAAATGCCTCCCCAGCCCGGAGCTGGTCCTGACTTGTCTTCTTCTGTAGCGATGGAGACGCCCGTGCGGAAGAAGCAGAATTCCCTGAGCCCGCCATCCGCGTCGGGGAGCAGCGGGAAGCGCAAGCGGAAGATCCAGTTGCTGTCGTCTCACCGAGGGGACCAGCTGGCACTGGTACGTCGCTGTCTCGCAGCCCCTTTTGCCCTCCTCTGGCGATAGAATGTGCTCACTGCAATTTCTGCAGGGCTGGGGGGAGACTGACCTGCCTGCCCTCAGGAAGGAGGCCCCGTCCTTGGCCGAGTGGGAAGTGACGCTATCCCCAGCCCCAGTGTCTGGTGGGCTGTGCGTGATTGTGCTGCCTGCTGCCGGACCAGGTAATGGCCTGGGGAAGGCCTGCCGTGCCCTCAGCGCCAAGCCGGGGGCCAAAATGAATGGGGATCGGAGCTCCGCGGTAGCGTGCTGTGGCAGAACCACCTGCTTCACGGGTCTTGCGACGGCCAGCCTTCACCACACATTCAGAGAGGCTCTGCTGGCTTCCCTGAGAAGGAGCTAAGCTGCTGCTCTCTCTTGGCAGCCCCCACCGCCTCAGCTGGGCTACTCCATCACGTCGGAGGACCTGGATGCGGAGAAGAAGGCAGCATTGCAGTGGTTAAACAAAGTCTTGGAGGATAAGGCCGGTAAGGGCACACTGGGAACGTGGAGGGAATGGGAAGGAGTAGGAACCCAGAGCCAGGGCTGGACGGGCAGTGGGGTGTCTTTGTAGCACAGGCTGGGGAAGCTCCTGGGCCAGTCCTGCCTGGTCCTCGGGTCTGGGGATGCCCTTCATGTCTTTAGACTCAGGAGAGCTCATGCCTCAGAGTTCCCAGTATGATGGGTGAGGTTCTCCAGGGCCAGAGCTGTGGAATGTCCATTCAGTTTCCCTACCTGATGGGGAGGCTCTGCGATGGGGTGGTCCCCTACAGCAAGTTGCGGGTCCTGACTTCTTGCTCCTTCCCAGTAGATGCCATCCCCAGCACCACTGCAGAGACTACGCCTGTGTCTAGGCTGCTGGCATTCGCCGTGACCTCCCCGACACCTGCACCTGCCTCGACAGCTCCTGCCCTGGCCAGCACCAGCTCGCTCCTGGACAGCCTGAAGAAGATGCAGAGCAGCCAGGCTGTGCCCGTGCCGGCAGGTGAGGAGCAGGAGGAGGATGGGCAGAGAGGGACTTCGGCCAAGCTGGGCGGGCACAGTGAGAGCTCTGCATTACCTCGGCAGGGGGCAGGTGGCAAAACTCCCTGTTCAAATGCTCAGCTGGCAGTGGAGCTGGCGGGGAGCAACGTTGGGGACACTGAGGCCGTGGCCCTGTTGGGAGCTGCAGTAAGCGTGGAGGACTGGGTCTGTCTGGTGTGGGTAGCTGCTGCTCCAGGAGCCTTTGCAGCAGCAGGGTGGGTGCCTGGCAGAAGGGTTGTCTGTCTGTAGATGACCCCCTGGTTCTAAATAAGTTCTCTCTCCCTTTCCAGACTCCACTGGAACTGCAGTAGCATCCCAGCCACCTTCATCAGCTGCCCAGCCGCCCACTCCTGTATCGCTGGAGTTGAGTTCTCTGCCTGCCTCCTCTGCTGACACCAAGCCCGTGCCTGTGTTGAGCACACCTGCCCCGACTGCCCCCCCTGCCTTGGGGGTGCAGGCCCCCAGCAGCCTGGCATCTCCTGCGTTCACGGAGCTGGGCCAGACCCCTAGCAAGCCTCCCTCTTTCCCAAAGCCAAGCACCCTTTTTGGGTTGCCGAACACCCCTCCTGCCAGCCAGCCGGCAATAACCGCAGCCGCTGCTGTGCCCACCACGACCACTGCTGTGCCCACCACGACCCCTGTCTTCAAACCCATCTTTGGTGCTTTGCAGAAGAGTGAGAGCACAGCACCCTGTACGGCTGTCATCTCCACCACAGTCACAGTGTCTGCAAGCTCAGGCCCTTCCTTGACATCCTCCTCCACCACCATGTTCAAGCCTATCTTCGGCAGCGTCACCACAGCTTCATCTCCAGCGAAGGCCTCTCCTTTCGCCTTCAAACCAACATCACAGCCAGCCCCAGCCTCAGATCTGCCAGCAGCCTCCACGACTACCCTGGCAGGATTCACAGGTCTCCCTAATGTCATCTTCACCACTGCAGCTACGACTGCCACCACGCAGAGTTCCTCCACAGATGCCACCATTAAGCCTGTCTTCAGCTTCGGACTCAATCCTCCCACATCCACTGGCCCCACCGCCAGCCTGACCATCACTGCTGCCACATCCACCAGCACGTCGCAGCCCTTCCTGTTTGGGAGCCTGGCCAGCTCAGCTCCCAGCACAGAAACCAGCTTTGCCACCCCAGGGCCTGTGTTCCAGTTTGGAAAGCCACCTCCAGCCACGGTCACTGCCACCACCAGTGTCCCAGGAGGCCCTGCCTTTGGCCAGGCACCTTCAAACTCGACGGCTCCTACCACCACTGTGGGCTTTAGCATGTTTGGGGGCACCACGCTGACCTCTTCTACCCCAGCCACCACAGGGCAAGCGACGCTGACGTTTGGCTCCTCCGTTTCAGCTTTTGGCAGTTCCTTCAGCACGAGCACGAAGCCACTGCCACCGTACCCCAGCACAGCAAGTCAGCCCGCCTTCAGTGCCGGTGCTGCGGAGAGCCAGCCGCCTGCCAGCAAGCCTGCTGCTGGCCCCGTCAGCTTTGGGCCCTCGTTCAGTTTTGGAGCGCCCACAGCCCAGTCCGCTGCTCAGCCGGCATTCGGCAGCGGTGCTCAGCCAGCCTTTGGCACGACCAGCGCCCAGGGCTCCTTTGGCCCCAGCGGCACCCAGGTGGCATTTGGGACCACTACATCGGTCTTCTCTTTTGGGACAGCCACTTCCACCACCACCAGCTTCGGTTCCACCACCCAAACCACGAGCAGCAGCACCGGCACCACTGTCTTTGGCACCACCTCTTCTCCTTTCACCTTTGGGGCGACCGCCCAGCCAGGCCCCTCTACCAGCGCCTTTGGGATTGGCACGCCCACCCTGAACAGCGGCTCCCCTGCCGTGGCATTCAATTTTGGGGCTGGGCAGAGCGGGGCAGCCCTAGCAGCAACGCCGTTTGGCTCTTCCCTGACGCAGAGCGTGCTGGGTGCGCAGAATCAGAGCACGCCCTTCGCCTTCACCGTGCCCAGCACGCCCAACAAGCAGCCAGTGTTCGGAGGTGAGTTGGGGCAGAACAGGCCTTGCCAAGGGGTGAAGGGCAGGGCTAGGTGTAAGCAGCAGTACTCCTGATGGGCCTTGCTGAGCTCCCCGGGCTCAGCAGCCTGAGTGGGGCTGGTGCTCGTGCTGTGCAGAGCCTTGCCAGGGGAAGGGAAGGCGCTTCCTTCCGTCACTTGCTGTCCAGGTCCACAGCCCTTGGTGGTGGAGGGGAATCCTTGAATTCTGCTCCTTGGCCCCTCTGAGTGCACAAGCTACCTGGCTCCACACAAGTGCTGAGCCCAGCCAGGTGCCCCGCAGAAGCCAAGTGCTTGCCAGTGCTTAAAAGCAATCTGGAGCTACTTGGCGAGTAGAAACACTGCCAGCCAGCAGTTGAGATCACTTCTTGCTTACTCCCTGAGGTTTTCCCTCCTGCTTTGCACCCTCGCTGGGCCATCTCACCTCCCACAGAGCTGAAACCCACATGCTGAGCAACCGTTTGATCTAGAAGGACAGAGTCCTTCATTCTTCCCTGGCCTGCAAAACCTCCCGTGCTGCCCTGCTGGAAGGAGAGCCCAGGGATTACCATGAGAGTGCCCGTTCTCACATTAAAAGGGCTTCTCGGGTAAAGAGGCTGGTCTCAGGGGCGGTGCTGTATCATCCCCCAGAGACAGATCTGTGGGTCCTGCAGCTCCTGAAGGCCGGGCTCTTCCTCCTTTGCTGACCCCAGCTCACAGTGGCATGTTGCTTTCCAGTAACTCCTGCGCCCGCCTTTGGGCAAAGCACACCTGTCCTGGGAGCAGTGGGCAGCGGAAGCAGTAGCCTTTCCTTCGGGACACCCAGCACTCCTGCTTCAGGCTTCGGAGGAGTCGGCACTTGCTTTGGTAAGGAAGGAGTTGGTGCTTCAGCCCTGGGGAGCTGATGGGTCGTGTTGTTGGCTGAGGGTGGCAGAAGGGCCAGGCTGTGCCTGTGGTCTGGGAACCAGGTTGGGTGGTACCTCCCCAGGGGATGCAAAACCTTCCATTCCCCCCCAGGACAGGGATTACGATACGCCCCCATGGAGCTCTGAGTGAGGCTGCAGAGACCTGAGCAACCTTTCTGCTTCCAGGTTCATCCACCCCCACCTTTTCCATCGGGGCAGGATCCAAGACAGGTGCTCGCCAGCGACTGCAGGCACGGAGACAGCACACCCGCAAAAAGTAACCTCCGGGGCTGCTGGGTCCCCACTGCTGGGCTGCACAAGGAGCCCCTGCACGCTCACGGGGGCTCTCTGGTCTAGAGTGGTCCCAGTGTTAGGACCAGTGGTGGTGGGGCCAGGCCCACATCTCTAATGCCAGCCGGAGACCGTGCTGGGTGGCAGTGACCAAGGGTGGGACGGGATAAACCAAACTCTTCTTACTTGAACAGTTCCACAGCCAAGGCTGGATGAACCTCTGTACATATCTGCAGCGTTTCCTCCCTCACTTTATTTTGCCATGTTTCATAATGTGTAAATTTTTCCCCATTTGCTTCTTGTAGCTGTTCTGTGCCCTCCTCCCCGGCGCCCTGCCCCGCAGCGTGGCAGGCAGTAGAGCTGCGCGTCCCCGCTCCGAGACGCCCTGTGTTCCTGCTGGCTGCGGCTCCAGGCTGCTGAGGGATGCCATCTTCACCAGGTCCTCAAATCTTTCCCCATTGTTTAATCCCATGGCCTGGTGAACACGCTCCCTCTGGAGCGCTCTTCTTCGTTGCCATCCCTGCGGAGCACGAGCCAGGGCTAGTGCCAGCCTGGCACGGGCATCTTGGTGCCACGGGTGCAGCCGGGTGATGGCCCCCTCGCTGTGACTTCAGGGTGCACTGCAGCTTGCCACCTCAGCAGGAGGCGTGGGCTGGGGATGGGGGGGGTCTCCCCACCCCCTCCCGGCCACCGAGTAGTGCCCCTGCCCCTCGCTGCTCCTTGCTGGGCTCCCCCCACCCTGCTCGTGTAAAGCCCCCTCTGTTTTGCTTTATTTGTGCTCCCGCTTCGATGCGCTCATTGAATCGAGTTTGGAGGAAGAACTGAACCGTGTGCGTGGCGGCATGTTGGTTATGCCGGATTTGCTGTTTGGAGTTTCTTTTTTGGGTGGGCGTCCGTCCCTTGGCGGGGGACGCGCCCTGGCTAATTGGGTGTTGACAGTAGCATCACTGCGTGGCTACTCGTGCTGGGTGAGTTGTCCCTTAGTCGCTGTGACTGAAAGGCAGGCAGCTGGGGGGGGGGATGCAGCCTGGACCCCCCCGGCATGGGGACTCCAGCCCTGGCAGTCTCCCCTCCCTTCCCCTCTCCTGGTGCCCCTTCCCCACCTTGGGGTGCTCTGAAGCTGTTAGTGGAAGGAGTTCCAGGTTTGGATGGGTTCTACCCCCCACCACCCCTCCATATCCAAATTGTTTTTCAGTTTTAGCTCATCCCCATCCTTTTGGGTTTTACCAGCTCCTAGGAGCTATGGTGCTGCCTCCCCTCTTCCCATCCAACCAGGAGCAGGCCCCTTCCCTTGCCTGGGAGCTCCTACAGGAAGAGATTGCTGGAGCTGGGGGTTCCCCGAGAGCTGCCCCCCTCCCTGCCCTGGGCGAGGGATGGGCACCCGTGCCCGTGGGCTCCTCACCACTTCCAGGAGTGCATTGCTGATGGGTTTTTTACTCTCCGAGCCGTGTGAGTGTGTGTGTCTGCCGAAGTCTAAATTAAAAAAAAAAAAAAAAAAAAAAAAAAAACAACAAAAAAAACCAAAACACAAACAAATATTTAAACATTTTTTAACAAAGTAAAAATTTATTTTTATATTTAAGCTAAATTGCCTTTGAATTCCTTCAAGCTTGGTTCAGTGAGGTTGCCAGAGCCCGCAGCGCTGTTTGTAGTGTTCAGCTGTGCCGTTGCAGCCCGGTGAGGAGCCAGCCCGTGCCCAGCTCTGCCCCGCAGGACCTAGCTGTGCTGGGGAAAGGCAACTACGTCCTGCGGGCTCTGCCACTGCACGATCCTCCTCCCGGCCTGTAACATCTCCTTAATTGTAAAATGTGATGTATGTGGATGTGACTAAAGTTTTTTGGTTTTTTTTTTTGTGTTTGTTTTTTTTTGTTTGTTTGGGGTTTTTTTTGTTTTGTTGTTTTTTTTTGTTTTTGTTTGTTTGGGGTTTTTTGTTTTGTTTGTTTTTTTGTTTTTGTTTTTTTTCTTTCTCCCTTCTCTGAGGATGAGGAGCAGGAGCTCTCATGCGTTAGTGATGAGTGGTTTTGTCTGCCAGGAGCAAAATGTCTCTCCCAGCAGGCAGGAGGGCAGGTGACTGGGCTCTGTGCAGCACAGAGGGGACACGGCCCTGTGGCGAGGGCCGGGGGTGTGCAGGCAGCCCTGGCTTTTGTAGCCTTCCCCTCCCAGCATGGCCGAGGTTGGTGCAGCAGGCTGTTAGAGCAGGGCAGACCAATGCAGGAGCCAGCCTGGGCAAACTCAGCCTTGGGGTTGGAGAAAGCGGATAAAAAGGGGTTAGTGCACGCAAGGGCTGACCCTGGTGGTTCTTCCCTCTGCCCTGGGCAGGGTGCGGGGCCAGGAGAGCGCCTGCTCCCCAGCCCTTACAGGGGTGTGAGGCAGGATGGGGAGGGGCTGGGGTTTGGCCAGGTCAGCTCCATCAAGAGCCGTGGGGATGAGCAGGGGCTGTTGCTGCTGCCCCATTTAGGTCCCAAGTGCCCAGCCCGGGAGGAGCCGGGGCTGTGTCCCTTCCCTGCCACCCAGGCCCTGCCGGGAGAGTCCCTTGTGCCTGGGCTGCTGTATGTGGCCAGGGCGAGGCTGGGTTTTAACTCAAACTGAAGACTTGGATCATTCCTGGTGTGGCTGATGAGGATTTTAGTGTGAATGTGCTGTTTTTTTCCTTGCTTCTTATGTCCCTGGTTTAAAATAAAAAGACTGTGTTCACATCTGCCTTGCTCATGTTTGACGCCTGGGCAGGGCTGGGCACTGCTGGTGCAGTACAGGGCACCGCTTTCCAACACCCTCTGGCTGTTCAGAGGCAAGTGCACAGACAGGATCAGTAGTAGTATTTCACCATTTCCCCTCACTTTGCCTCTGCTATGAGCAGTGGCAATTTTAGGACAAGACTGCACAAACATGCTGGAAAAGACAGTGAAGAGAAAGAAACTAATTGGTTTCATCTGTACAGTTCAAACGCTTTTCTGAAATCTGGCATCAGGCTCGAGTGAGGATTTTTTGGGGGGGGGGGGGGGGGGAAACATGGTAAAATAACACCCTTCCTCCAGCTGGAGCACTCCAGCCCCGGAGGGTGCAAAAATGGTGGTTGTGCTCAACCCAGGTGCTGTTTGCAGGCTTCCTGAGGCTGCCCCAGCCCAGGTCTGGCTTTGGGGGCAAATATTCTGCTGGGGGCTGGCTGTGAGGGCCAGCTCTGGGGGAGCAGTTCCTGCTCCCAGGCAATAGGGTGGCCCCAGGCTTGGCACTCGTTCCCCAGGGGCGCAGGGTGTTACAGAATTCCACCAATGGCTGCAGCTGGTACAAAACTTTACTTGTGTTCAGAAGCTGTTTAGGCAGCAGTGGCAGCGGAGGAGTGTTCCCTGCCAGCCCCAGCTGGGCACTGTGCAGGCCTAAAAATGTTATCTCACGCCTTCACCAACTGCTTTTTCTTCTTTCTCTTCTTGGGAGCTGCTCCTGGCTCCGTTGCCTCTCCGCGCTGCAGGTTCTCCTCAGCTGCTGCAGGCAGGGAGCTGCAGACAGGAGTGAACAGCCTGAGGCCCCGCTCACCGCAGTACCACGGCTCCTGCCCTCCCTTCCCACAGCCAGAACCCCTCCCTCTTCCCTCCACCTCACACCAGGAAGGCAACAGCCTCCCCCTGGGTGCCCCAGTTTCCCCCAGAAGCTGCTGGAGGCAGGCAGGCTCACCTGGGGGCAGCGGCCCCTTCCCCACACTGCTCCAGGACAGCCACAAAGAAGCCGTGGGTGAGCGTGTCTGCAGGAGAGGCACGGAGGCAACTCTCTGCCCCGGGGAAGGTAGCGAGTCCTCGGCAGGGCCAGGAAGGGAAGGCATTCACCAGCCTGCGGCACGGGACGAGGGTCAGGGCTGAGCCCTGCAGCACCCCACGCCGCATGCGTGCCCACCCGCCCCGCAGCCAGCGCACCTGAAGGCTGTGCCCTGCTCCTGCAGCACAGCACGCACCACATCCTCATTCTCCTCCTGGTGCAGCGAGCAGGTGGAGTAGACCAGGCGCCGGAGAGCTGGGAATCTCAGGGCGTGGCGCAAGACCCTGCGCTGGAAGCCAGCCAGCGCCTGCAGCCGCTCAGCGCTCGGAGCAGCCTCCTCCTTCGGACCCCGGTTCACCATCCCTGCGGGGAGAGCGGCTGTCGCCGGGGGCGGGGGGGGTCCACGCGCCCAGAGCCCAGCCCCAGGAGCCCCCCCGCCTTACCTGAGCCGCTGCAGGATGGGTCGAGGAGGATATAGGTCACCTTGCTGTACCTGGGGTCGCTGGGATCCACGGTCAGGAAGTCTTGCTGGGCCAGCTGGAAGCCAGTGACCCCAGCCCGCATCAGCATGGTGTTCATGGTGGCCAGGCGCTTGGTGTCCACGTCAAAGGCAAAGATCCGGCTGAAGGCAGAGCCCAGCACCCAAGAGAGGCATGAACATCCCGCCCAGCCCCAGGAACTGTGCTGGCGGCAGCAGGCTGCCCCAGCAGCCCCAAACGGCAGCTGTCTGCCCAGCGGGCAGAGCGTGGGAGCTGCTCCCCCAGGCAGGAGTACTGAGCAGGGCTGGTGTAAGGCAGGAGGCTGGGAACCAAACCCCTACATGACTTCACGTCCCCTCAGGCCCTTCCAGCGGCCCAGCACTATCAGAGCCACCAGACCACCTAGGGAGAAGTGGGCATCAGCCTGAGTTATTGGGCCAGGGTGACAGGCTGCAGCTCTTCCTGCCACCTTCTCCTTGTGCTCAGTGGGCTCAGGGGGAGCAGGGCCACCTGCACCCCTTCCCGCCCCCCCCCCCCCCAGCACACAAACCTGCCCTCACCCCTTGTTCTTCAGGATGGCAGCCAGGTGGCTGGTCTTATTCCCAGGGGCAGCGCAGGCATCGATGACGTGGGAGCCAGCAGCAGGGGCGAGGAGGAAGGCAGGGAGGCAGCTGGCCTGCAAAAGGGCAAACCCCTGTGAGGAATGCGGGTGGCAAGCACCCCTGGCCCCTCTGCGGGACATGGCTGATGCTGCAGGGTCGCAGGCAGCCACAGCACGGGGCCGAGTCCACCGCCACCATCCACCCCTGGAAGCCTCTGACTGGCCCACAGCCCCATGCTCCTCCCAGCTGCTGGTCCCCAGCTCCCTACAGTGGGGTTTTACCACCCAGTTCACAGCAATTCACCCCATACCTACAGGCTACAGAAGCAAAGCTGCAGGGCAGCCCCATCGCTGCAAGGCTGCATTCGCAAGTTCCACTTAGAATTCAAACGCTGCAGCAAAGCTGGCCCAAGCCCAGCCCTTCACCCATACCAGTGGTTTTCCTGCCCTTGCAGCCCCCTGCTCTCCCACCTTGTCCTGCAGAATTATGTGTCCTGAAGTATACAGCAGGTTGTCATGGAAGTCCGTCTGTGGAGGGAAAACCAGCAGCTCCGGGAGATGAAGATCCAACAAGAATTTCTTCCCAGACAGGGCCCTCAGTTCCTCCATGCTGCCCATGAAGATAAACACACAGTCTTGCTTCATCATGCCCAGAAGCAGAGCCCAGGCTGAGAACCCCCCCTGTCCCAGGGCTCCTCTCACTTCGGCACCAGGCAGAACGTGGAGAGGTGGAAAGTAAGAATGGGGGGTGCCGGCGAGCCCAACCCCCCCACCACAAGCATCAAGACCAACAACCCTACAACCTGCAGGACCTTGTCCCGAGCCCTTGCTCTCTCGCTGTCATCCCAGGTAAGGCGAGATGGCAGAACGAAACGCTCACCTGGCTGCCTTGCCCAGGTAGGAGTAGCCCTGGCGCTTGAAGAAGTCGATCACATCGTCCATGCAAGTCTTCAGGGTGTTGACTCGGGCGTAGCGCGGTACCTGCGAGTCTGGAGGAAGCCGGTGGGGTCAGGCACGGCCGCCGCACGGGCAGCCCCCCCCCCGGGCCCACTCACCCCCGGGGCTCGCTGCCGGCGCCAGGAGATCCTCGTTGCGGGTCACCTTCTGCCGCACCTTCAGGCGGGCCAGCTCGGCCTCCAGCCGCGCCCGGTGCCGCCGGGCCAGCGCCTTCCACCGCCCCCCGCACTTCAGGCCCTTGCCGAAGAGCAGCTCGTACACCAGCACCTGCGGGAGGGGGGGGGGGGGTGAGCCCGGCGCCCCGCGACCCCCCCCCGGGGCTCTGTGTGTGTGTGTGTGTGTGTGTGTGTGTGTGCGTGTCCCCTTACCTTCGCCAGCTGCGGGGACAGCTTCTTCTCGGCCTGCAGCAGCGCGGCGCCCGCCAGCACCTTCTCCAGCACCGGGGAGTAGCGGAGCGTCTCGGACACCAGGGCGTACAGCTGCCGGACATGCTGTGGGGCGGTCAGGGGCCGCCCAGAGCCCCCCGCCCGCCGCCCCGGACCCCCCCCCCTTCCCCTCCCCGGCCCCCCCCGCCCGCACCGGGAAGCGGCTGTTGTACACCAAGGTCTTGATGCCGCCGTCGCCGCGCTCCAGCCCCTCCAGCACGGCGGCGGCCGCGCCGTACAGCGCCATCTTCCCGCCCACGCTGCCGCCGCGACCTCCGGGCCGGCAGGGGGCGAGCGGGGCGCGAGCCGGGGCGGGGAGGCCCGGCGGCGCGACCTCCCGGCCGGCAGGGGGCGAGGCGGCGGCGGGCGGAGCGGCGGGCCGAGGCCCAGCGGCTCGGCCACCAGTACCGGTAACGCGCAGCTGCAGGGGCCGGTCGGGCGGTGCCCAAGCGGTTGAAGGGTGTGAGAACCCGCGGTCCCAGTTTGGTGGGGACGCCCGGTGCACCCCAGTAACTCTGTGCCCCCAGCCTCTGTCAGTGGGCACGGCCCGGCTGTGGGTGCTGGTGGCAAGCCCCAGGAACCTTCTGGGGTCAGTGGGCACAGCCCGGCTGTGGGAGGGCCTGCTCAGCTCCGGCTGCACCTGGTCCCTCAGAGATGGTGCCCACGTTAGCCAGCAACCAGCTCCCCTAACAAACCATTTATTCAGAAGAAAGACATGCCAATAAAGACCCCGGATGCTCACGGCTCGTGCTTTTCAGGCAGGCCCACCTTTCTCCACAGGCCAGCTGTTATTTTAGGCATTTGGGTCAGCCTGCCAGACTGGGGATGGGGATTCAGAGGTCAAGGCTGACATTTTATGCTCTTGGGGGAGAGGGGAAGGACCCTCCTGTGCTGCTGAAGCTCAGTCTGCAGTACCACAGCTTCCACCTCAGCACAACCCTGCACACAGCCCAGCTCTCCTCTGCTGCAGGCCCCCGGGACTCGGCCACGGTCTCATCCCACCAGCTGGGCTACAGCTTTGTGGGTTCCTCTGGGGCAGGGTGGTTGTACGGTGCCTGAGGGTGCCGGCTCGTGGCGGGCACGGGCAGGATGATGGGGGGCGAGTAGGGCCCTCGCTCCGGCCAGCACAGGTCCACGATGGGGTAGAGCTGGCCCTGGAACTCTGCCTGGAAGGTGTAGATGGGGCCGAGCTCGTCGGGGTTGTCGGCGTTGTAGAAGGTCAGCTCGCCCTTCTCATAGTGCAGGTAGATGCCAATGCGCTGGGGCCGGGCGGTCAGCGGCAGGGCGGCCCGTGGGGTGCTGAAGGCCTCGTAGACCTTCCCCTCCTTCAGGCCGATGAGCCACACACCATTCTCAGGAGACTTGCTGAGCTTCCCTTTGCGGCTGACTGTGCCCTTGATGATGCCCACGCGCCAGTGGTTCCTGGTGCCCACGATCACCTCCCAGTAGTGCTGGCCGCAGGAGAAGCCCTTGGAGGTGAGGATGCAGTTGCTGGAGTCGAAACGCTTGGGGTTGCTGTCCCGGCGCTGGTAGAGCCCACACTGCACCACCGTGTCACCCTTGAAGAGCTCCAGGAGGGGATGTGCTGTCACCGGGTCCAGCTTCAGCGTCTCTGGAGCTAGAAGGAAAGCACGCAGGCTCCAGGCATACTAGCAGGCAGGGGCCAGGCTCCAGGTGACCCCAGGGGCTGACAGAGCTGGACAAGCTGGAGCTGCTGAACTTTAAGCAGCTGGAGCATTATGCCAGAGCAGGCTGTGACCAGCAGGAGACAAGGCCAGCCACTGCTCCGGGAGCACTCCTGGGGGCAAGGAGTGCACCGACAGAGAGCAAGGCTGGCTGGGCAGCCCGTCACATGCACCAGGGAGCCGGGGCAGCCGGCATGCTGCCAGCGGGGCAGGCTGGTACCTGGCAGGACACGGCGGTGCAGGCGCTTCCACACAGTCATCTTGATGTCATCTTGGTGGAAACACGGCTTGAAGGACACGGGGCTAAAGATGCCATCGCTGGGGTGGAGGCTGGGGAGCTCTGACCTGGAAAGACACAAGCAGCCATGATGCAGGTGATGGTGGGTGGTGTGTGGCCTGTTCTTACCTGGCTGCCCTATATGATGGAGCCACTGGTGTCTTGCCAGCTGCTCTTGCCCTCTTCTGGCTACCAGCCTCATTGATGCTGTTTGCTGCTGGGTCCCACCACTCACCTGAACTGGGAGGAGCTGTATTTCTGGAAAACACAAGAGAAAGGGGGAGCTGGTGGTGGAAGCCCGACAGAATGGCAGCTCTCTGCATGGCTCCAACTCCACACATCCGTGTCCTGGGCTGGAGAGGCCAGGGCTCTCCTCTCCAGGGAGAGCTAAGGGTATCACCTCTCGTGGAGGGCAGGTCTCTCCCACTGAGGGAAGCCCTGGCTGGACAGAGGGCACCTACATCTCACTTCTCGTGATGTCCCAGCTCTGCTTGGTGAGGGTTCGCACTGCCCAGGGCAGGGCTTAGGGCTACGAGCAGTGAGCTGAAGGCTGCAGAGCCTGGCTGACTGTCACTGCTTTCACTAGCGAGTGCGCTCACCCGGATGAAATCAAGCTGGCTTTCATTGCTGAGTGCCTCCAGGGAGCTCTGCATCTCCTTAAGCCTCTGTAGGGCATCTGATGTCTGCTTGACCTGGGACTCAATGGAGGTGATGAGCTGGGCTGCCTTCCCCTCGATGCTTTCCAGAAAGGTGGCCTTCTCCTCATCGATGTATCTGTGCAGCTCCTGGAACTCCTTCCGGATCACCCACTTGAAGACATCTGCCTCGTTCTGCCAGGAGACAGCAAGCAACTCTGCAGGGCTGCCTTGCTCCAACCCTTTCACCCACTTTTTGGGTTCAGGGATGCCACCAGCAATGTCAATGTGTCCCACCAAGCTGCTCTCCACTGGCTTTCCAAATAAAGAGCTGCTCTGTACAACAGGCTAGATCTTGTTTATCCTGCTGTCCTCAGCAGCCCACTGCCACAGCACCCCTGCCTTACACCTCTCCTCCCCCAGATTTCAGATTCCTGATGTCCCAACCAGCTTCATCAGAGCCTCGAATCCCTCATCATCATCTCCTCTGCTCCCGGGGAACCACCAGTGTCCTGGGCCACGGGGGAGAAAGTGCAGCTCCACTTTCATTTGGGTTGAGCCCTTCTGAGGAGCCCTACTGGAGACCTCTAGCCTCAGAAGGGATGCCAGGAGGTCCCTTGGAGACATCTACTGCTTGGGAAACAGACATGCAGCTAAACCAGGCATAAACTTGATGTGAAACCAGCAGCGTTGCTCTGACCAGGAAGCCTGTTCCGAGTGGGGTCCTTTTCACCTGTTATCTCCCCGCCCCCAAGGGCATTTGGTCAAACCAGCTCTGACCGCTGCTCCTGCCAGGACGCTCAGTGAGGGTTACATCAACCCTTCCGAAAACAGGGCTACGCCACCCTTCCTGGAAACAAGTCCATGTTTAATCCTTGAGTTTTGTGGGGAACCTCAGGGAACAGGTTAGAGGATAAGCCCTCTCTGCTATCCCAGGGAAGGGAGAAGGAGAGGAGTAGAAGAGACGAGTTGGGGAGAACCAGGAGCAGAGGTTACTCCAGGGGCTGCGTGGGACCCAAAGGATGCAGGGACACAGGCTCCCTGGCACGTGGCACTCACTGCAATGCGGCTTTTGTTGTTGATGAGCTTGCTGAAGTGTTCATCCAGGTTCCTTTTGTACTGGTGGACATCAGTCAGCAGCACAGACAGCTCCTCCTGAAAAGACAGCACCTCTGTAGGAGGGACCTCTGTGGCAGCCTCCTGGATCATGGGAAGTGCTTGTCAGCCCCCCGAGGAGCATGTGGCCCTCAGAAGCCATGTTCTCCTAAGCTTTCAGTAAGCTTTTCTGGGGCCCTGCACATCCTGCTGATCTTTACTGTCTTGATTTAGATGATTTGGGGTGGCCAGTCAGAAGAGAGCTCAGAGGATGGCCCCGATTGGGATGCTGCTGACCGAGTACTCTTGCCAGGAGCATCGTGTCTTCACTCCCATTCCTGACCCTCCATCTCACACCCTGTGGTGGCTCCACAACAGACAAGCGGGTGGCAAGTGGGAGGCGAGCAGCCGCAAGCCAGCACCAGGCCGGTGGCACCCTCCTCGCACCAGTGCCGGGAGCCTGGCTGGGGCAGGAGCATGTCTGCTGCCTCCTGCTCTTATCTCCCCAGTGTCAGGAGTGGAGGGGACGGGGTGGCCCTGTGCTTTTCCATTCCTGGGGCTTTCATGTGATGCTGGGCAGGGGACGCCAGCTGTTTACTCTGCCTGGCTGGGGCTCCTGTTTCCCTGCCTCCCTCTTCTCCCATGGCACCTTGCCTCAGCCCTTATCTCCAGACTCTTTTGATGGTATTTGGAAACAGTCTTGAAAGGCCCCACCGACACTCCCCGACCCCCAGCTCTCCCCACGGCAGTGCAGCCACTGAAACTGTGAGTCCTCTCAAGCCAGAGAGGCTTAGCTTGAGAAACAGCTGCCCCCAGGGACCCTGCCCCACATCTGGCTGTGTCATGGGGCTCCTCACACTGGCATCGTTTCCAGTCTCCCTTGAAGGAGAAGGGACATTTGGCCAGCAATCCCTGCAGGTGCCCTAACCCCAACCCCAGGAGCCGTGGCCAGCTCTTCCAACCTTCATCCGGCAGTACGCAGTAGAGATGGGGGTGATCTTGTGCTGGCGGTGGTTGCCAATGGTGCCGCACAGCCCACAGATCACCTCTTGGTCAGCCTCGCAGAAGAGGCTGAGGGGGTTGTGGTGCATTGGGCAGGACTCTGGGGTGGGCTCTGCCTCGCCCCGGCTCTGCAGCGCCTCGATGACACGGGCCAGTGTGACGTTGGGCGGTGAGGCGCTGCAGTCCACCGTTTGGCGGCACACGGGGCAGAGGAACTGCCTGTCCAGCTCTCTGGAGAGTGGCACCACGCAGGACTTGCAGTACGAGTGCCCACACTGCAGCATCAGGGGCTCCTTGAAGACCTCCAAGCAGATGGGACAGAGTAGCTGGTCCTCCAGCTCGTTGATGCTCATCCTCCGAGCCATCCTGCCACCTGCCCAAACAGCAGCACAGACCTGACCTGGGAAACAAGGGTGGGAGATCAGTCCTGTTCCAAGAGCAAGGTAAGCAGAGATGAGTGAAGATGGAGCTCAGCACCTGGGGAAGGTGAAACAGAGAGACCTCCAGCCCCCCAGCAGCAGCACAGACAGTTGCAAACTCGTCATTAGGCTCCACACAAAGTCCAAGATGCTTATTTTAACTCACGATGGGTTTGGGCTCTGGAGATGTGAGACCACACCCGCCCATGTCTGCTGGATCTGTCTAAAGTGTCAGAATTGACCACCCAGCTGTTTCCACCTGGGGCCTTTGCCTGACAGCAGTGTCAGACTGCAGCCCACCTCAGAGGAGACCTGTCTGCCTGCCAGGTCTGGAGACCGCTGAGAGGTATTTTCTGCTGAAAAATTCCAATACTGACCCCGGCCTGTATGATTTCCTACAGATCTCTTTGGGCTCATTGTCTTAGTCATGGACATCCTCAGAAGGATTAGCTCAAGTGGTGCATCTAAGCAAAAGCAGAAGGAAATAATAAAAAGCACATTTATCTAAGAGAAAGGGGCAACCATCGCACGGTAAAAACTCATGAGGCTGGATTTAACTGATAAAAGGGCTGGGAAGCTGAGGCACAGCGTGCAGGGTTGCAACTGCAGCTCACTCCCTTGAAACATGGTGCGATTTCTAGTCTCACAGTGCTCCACACTCTGGGCCAGCACCCCCAGGAGACACAAGCCCAAAACCCAGCTTCTTCTGCCAGCCCCTGGGCTGCATGTGGCCAGCCTGTTTAACAGCTATTAAGGTTCACGCAGCATTGCCTCCTCTGTTGTTCCCAGAACTGTGGCATGTAACTGCCAAGATCCTGGGCAAATCAAAGACATGACTTGAAGGCAAAGAAAATAAACCTGGAGTTAAAGACATGACCTAAAGTTGAAGAAAATAAACCTGAGGTCAACGGCTTTGTTATTTCCCCAGGGAAAAGGGAGACTATGACCTGAGCTTGACTTTTATCATACATTGCTATAGGAGCTTGGTCAATCAAGGAAAGCTTGTGTGTCAGCCTGTGACACATCAGACACCATAGGACTCCATACAGGGGAACCAGATTCAGCTGCTCCCTCTGCTCACACGGAAACACCTCCCAGAGACCCAAATAACAGCCTCCCATTCATCACACCACTTACGCGTCCTGCACGGCTTCCTCCTGGCCCTGGCTTGGGCTCCACTCGTCCCAGCACACCGGGACCAGCCAACGTCACTCGGCTTCTCCTGATCAAGCTGAAGATTTTGTTCGGCTCGGGTGGAGGGGCAGATGTGGCAGGCAGTGGGACCGGCAGCCCCTCGGCAGGACGGGGAGCCAACCCGTCCCCCTCCTGCAGCCTCAGTCCTGCTGGAGACGTCCCCGCTCGCTGGAGAGAGACCAGGCAGCCTCTCGCCCCCGTCTCCTGCTCTTGAGGACGGCGTCACACCCCCGCGAAGGGCTGCCCACCGCCCTGCAGGTACGGGCACATGCATCATATGACTGTGTGGGCAGGAGCCTTGATAAGAGCTAGTGGTGTTTGCCTCCCAGAGTCCTGCTGGGGTTTCACTCATCTGCACTGCTTGGTACAGTGGAAACATTTTCACCAAAACACTTTATCAACTAAAGCTCTTTTTTTTTGTTTGTTTGAAACAGTATTCTTCTGTTGTTTGGTGAAAACCTTTTGTTTTTTTGGAAAATAAGAAGGAAACCCAAAGCGTCGCTCCCCCAGTGTGGAGCAAGGCATGCACACATTTTTGTCTGGCTGAAGAAATTATTTCTTGTATAATTATCCTTGGTTCACGGACGTGTTTGGCTTACAGCCACCCCAGTGGTTTCCCTCTCAGCATCATGCAGGGGAAGCTGGGGATGAGGGAGACTTCTCAGCCAGGAGGGTCCAGCTTTGGGTCAACCCTCCAGAGGCCATGGGGTGCGGGAAGCAGAGCCAGAGGCTAAAGGATTACCCTGGTGCTCCCACCTCAGCCTCACGCTGAAGGTGGTGGGTCTGGGGGCTGCAGCAGACCAGGAAGGTGCAGCGCCCGTTCCCCAGGGGAGGCCGGCGGGAGGTCGCCCCCTCGAAGGGGCCTTTCCAAGCCGAGGTCCCCCTGTCTGCAGGTTCCGCTCAGGGGAGCGGGACGCAGCCCCAGCCCGCCAGCCGACACGCCCCGCGGGACTATCTGGAGGAGGCTGCAGCGCCCCGCAGGCCCGGGGGGAACGGCGGGAGCCGTGGCGCGGCACCGGCACCGGCACCGGCACCGGCACCGGCACCGGCACCGGCACCGGCACCGGCACCGGCACCGGCACCGGCAGCGGGACCCGGCGGGCGGCGCAGGCGCAAGCGCAGGACTACATTCCCCCCGCCCCGCCCCGCCCCGCCCCGCCCCGCCCCGCCCCGCCCCGCCCCGTGACGCACGCCAATGGCCGGTGGCGCCGCAGAGGGGCGTGTCCCTCCCCGAGTGGCGCCCGGCGCGTGGCTCCCCGGCCGCAGGGTGGGATGCGGGATCTCCTCGGAGCGCCATTGGCTGAGGGCTCGGCGCGCGGGGATTGGTGGAAGGGGGGCGAGGGGGTGGGGCGCGCCGCGCGATGGCGGGCCGCGGGGTGGTGGCGGCGGCGGGTGAGGCCCGAGCGGGGCCTGAGGGGCGGCCGCGCTCGGTGGGGCAGGTGCCATGGCCATCGCCATCGCCATCCTCATCGCCATCCGCGCCCCCGCCCTCCTTCCAGCGCCGGGTGCGGGACCTGCGGGACCTGCAGGACTTGAGCGGCGATGGCGGGGTGCGCAAGAAGGAGCTGCGCTCTGGCACAGGGCAGACCGTGCCCCTGGCCGCCTCTGTGGCAGGTACTGCTGGGGCTCCAGGGCCTGTGGTGCCGGGCGGGCCAGGGGGCCTGCGTTCTGCCGCGGCAGGGGCTGGGCACCCCGGTGCCACCGGACCGGGCCCGGTTCTCACACCTCCCCTGGCGCTGTGTCTGCTCTGTGCTGCCAGCCCAGCGGCCCGCGATCAGCCTGAGGGGAGCTTGCAGCTGGGCTCCCCGGGGCTGTCAGTGCACTCCACAGTGAGTGCGAGCCTGCAGGCTCCGCTGACCGACTCCTGAGCAGCTTTCTTTATAAGTGGCAGTTGTTAAATTTAATCGGTGGTTAGCAGGTTTAAGAAAGCCTAAAATCCTTGGAAACGTAGACAGTAGTCAGGGTCTCGTGCTCATCTGTGTCATTTATGTCCTAGTGCAAGGTCCTTGCTCTGGTCTGCGTGGCTGGGCCTGAAGTATGGGCTGGGGGAAATGGAGAGGGCAGAACCTGTTGTAAGAGACCCCTTGACTCTCTAATGTTGAGGTGCTTGTGGCTGGCAAGTCTGAGTGCTTTGGATTTTAGCATGAGATTAGAACAAGAATTTAAAAGTGCATATGCTATACACTAGTACGTCTTTGTATTTCACAGGCTGCTCTCCTTATCAGTATTTTAGCACTTGGGATACTCTGTTTAACTTCTTGTGACTGACAGATTAAATGAAAGGGCATCTTGACCTTGAAAAAAGCATGATTTATAGGTCCCACCTGTGTGCATAGTACAGAGAAGTTTGAAGCTGAAAGTGGCTCCTGAAGTGCAAAGGCCTGGTGCTGTGTCCAGGGAAGGCCATCACAGTGCGTTTTCTAACTGAGTGAGGACTGGAGTTGCACATACAGTGTCCAAAAGAGTGGCAGAGCTTGGAAGGGTACATTTTCCGCTTTGTTTCTTTTTCCAAGACTCCAGCTTTGGTTAGGAAAGGATTTGTTAGTCATTTCTGCAGATTATTGGGGCGTTTTAATTTCTACAGCTGAAGTTTCTGATTCTTAAAAACACAAAATCACATCTCTCCGTTAGATACGGATCAAGACTGTGAAGCAGCTGCTTTATCTGGTGATGATGTTAAAACACAGCCAAAACCACTTGGCTACTTGGATGCGACCAGGTTTTTGGTATAAAACACAAGGTGATTTGTGCTGCCTCTGCTGTTTTACAGCAGAAGGAAAAAAGAAAAGCAAGATAAAAGAGTGGCATTGCAAAACCAATTCCTGGTGTGCCCCCAATGGTACTGTTACTGGATGTGAAATCAAATTCTTGCTTTTCTCTTCTCCCCACTCTTTGCTTTGGGCTGCACAGTGAAATACTCTGGGTACCTGGAACACTCGGATGAGCCCTTCTGCACAAACTGCTACAGCAAGTTTCCTGAGCTGATGAAACTTGGAAAAGGTAGGTTTGAGTTGAAGAGTTTATCCTGGGACTTGGGGTTGTAAAGACCAGCTCATAAGACATGTCAATTTAAATGCTATTTAGTATCTTTAGGTTCTTTGAAACCTTTCAAACTTATTAATGGAGTCCAGAATCCTCCTGCATCACACAGGTGATGGTCAGTCTGGAACTGATCACCCTCTGCCCCTCTTGACTGTTAGTGGCAGTGGGGGTACTTGCCTCCCACACTGAATCAGCTGCTTGTCTTGGTGTTTTTAAAGCAAATTAGTGTTTTCTAAAATCATCAGGAGACATTGCTGTTTACTGTGTGCTTGGTGCCACAGCAGACTGCCTTGATAATCTGTAAGAGGGGAGTTGACCATTGTAGTTGCTAAGATTTGAGCTACTAGGGATTTTTTTCCTTTGGGCTTTAGGAGATACCGTTGTTTGGTGTCAGAGGAGGTTTCCATGTTGCGACTCACATGACCTTCCATATCTTGTTGTGACAGACATTACGCTGCAGGGCCTGGCAATTGGCCTGCTGACAATGAAGAAGGGAGAGGCGGCAAGATTTGTCTTCATGCCAGATTACGCCTATGGGCAGCAGGGCTGTCCTCCTCTCATTCCCCCCAACGCCACGGTCATGTTTGAAGTGGAGTTGCTGGACTTCCTGGACTCGGGTGAATCTGATGCATTCTTTGAGTTGACTGCTGTAAGTTACCTGAATAAGGTTTGAGACCTAAATCTGGAAGCTAAACCTTTGTTGTCTTTCCTTCCAGTTGCTGTTGCTCATGCATTACATAGGTTTAGTTTAATGCAGATGCAGTTATCCAGACCTTGGGCTGCTAGCTCTGCTCTGATAAAAACACATGTCCTTTGCCACTGTGCCTGCATGCCTTGCCCTGTTTGCACTCCGGTATGGAGGGAGCAGCTGTGTGCTGCCTTTGTTTGCTCCTGTGTGCTGGAGTCCAATGGGATGACTTCCACTTATTTTTAGCTTTACAAGAAACCTCATGTTTTCGCTAGAGGGCACCAGCTTCCAGGAATTTATCTGAAAGAACAGTAATGAGCTGTCTGTAAAAATCCCGTTCAGTCTGCAATCCAAGTGCCCCCACGCTCCCCCCCCGCAGCCCCCCACCCTTTGTCTCTGCTTCTTGGCTGCTCTCCCAAGTGCTCCTTCACTGTTCACTTTCCTCCCTGGTGAGTTATGGTGTTATTGTTAATTCCTCCTTTTCATGTAAAGGGCTTTGGGCTGTGGTTGTGGGTCAGTGAGTGGGGCACAGCCAGCAGTGCTGGTAGGGGAGGCCCACCTCATTCCCTCCTGCTGCTGCACAGGCCATTTTTTCCACACATAGCCCTGCAAGCAAACCACACTTGTTGCAAGAGCACCTATTCCCCTTCTTGCTAGTTGCCTACCCTTTCTGGCTAACTGACCTCTCTCTGTGAGCTGGTTCAAACTTGGAAACACAGGAGAAAACCTGTCCCTCTACTTTTATGTATTTTTTTTATTGTTGGGTTTTTTGTTTTGCTGGTTGGTGTGTTGTGTGGGTGTCATGCTGGTCCCTGAGCTGGCCTGAGGCAGCGGCCTTGGGTGATGCCAAGCCATTAGAGTGATGGAGCCTTTCAATCAGCGTCACCTTTGGTGCCAGCAATAGCATTTGCATTAACTGACTGCTCTGCGCTAAGCAGGAGAGTTGAGCAGATTTGAAGAACAAAATCCTGCTTTTTTCCTTCCTCTGGGGTCCCTTTCGTTCTGGTGAGCTTCTTGACCTGGTTGGTAGTACTCTTCACCAGGAGTTACCAGCACGAGAACAGAGGCATGTTTCAGCTTGGCAAAGGGAAGTGCCATGTGGTGGTGGCCTGGCTGGACACTGCAGGGGCCTTGGCAACAGCCTGGATCTGTGAATAGAAGGGGACTGTGCAGGACTGTCCTGTCTGAGCTCTCTGCCCGTCTTCTTTTGTTTGAGCTGAAATTCAGGTATTTCTTTGTACAGGAGCAGCAGGATACATTTCCGCTACAAAAGGTGTTGAAAGTGGCAGACACAGAGAGAGAGTTTGGCAACTACCTCTACCGTAAGCGGCACTTCGAGCATGCCAAAGACAGATACAAAAGGGTATGACATCAGAAAAAAATGTGTTTTCCATTGTGAAAAGCTGTGAAAGCAGTGATTACTTAAGTGCTAGTTTACCATAACAAGTACAATTTGGAGATCAAATAACTTCATTAGATTTTCCAGGCATAGTTTGTTATTTAAGAACAGATCTTAGATGTCTGCTTTTGTGTGAGCAGCAGTGATAAATGAAGGAGGAGAAGGGTTGGCAGAAATGGGCAGAACCCTTTTCCTTCAGGCTTGCTCCCTGTGGGCTCTAGCTGAGACAGAAGAGTACATCTTAGCAGCTGTGTGAGCCCTGAGCAGTTTACGTGGCTGACTGCTGAACTGGAGCCTTTCAGGTCAGCTTTTCCTGGGAGACGTTATAATTCAGCATGGCCTTGTATTACAGCAGCATGCTGATTAATGATTTGAGAAGGAATCTAGAATCCCTTTGGTCTGGAAACGGGTATCGCTATCACATTGAGCACTCGCTTAGCCTTCCAGTTGGGAATCACAGAATAGTGGAGGTTGGTAGGAATCTCTAGAGGTTGTCTGGTCCAATCCCCTGCTGAAGGAAGGTCAGCCGCAGCAGGAGGTTGCCCTGGTCTGTCCATTCAGGTGTTGAACATCTCCAAGGATGGAGGCTTGGCAGCCTCTCCAGGCAGGGACATACTTGCTTATTCATAAACTCGAATACATCTGCTGTTGTTTCAGAGGTAGTGAGATTTTTTTTCTTCCCTCCATTCAGAGTTGCTTATTCTTGGTATTTTTGTAACAAAAATAATCTAAATTGGCCTTCTCCCTGTAAGATTTCTCTTTCATCTTTATCCTTAAAATCTGAGTCCTGGGTGTATTTTTTTTTATTCTGCAGTTTTCAAGTTCCTTGATAAGTTCCTAAATCTGTAGTCTTATGGCTGATCTGGCGAGGCATGCTGATAATGCCATACAGTATATTTAGAGTAGTTGTTGTTATTTTTAACTAACTCTTGTAAACAGAAATATGTCTGTAGCTGGCTGAGATGGATTTCTCACTTTCCATAACAGATTTGTTGTGCACTAGTATTTTTTCTCCTGTTTGCTCAGGCATTCTCCATCCTTGGTCGCAGCCCTTCAAGTGAGGCAGAGCAGTGTCAGATCAGTGCTTCCAAGTTGCTGCTGCTCCTGAATCTGTCGCTTACTTACCTGAAACTGGAACGTCCTAACCAAGCTTTGGCATATGGGGAGAAGGCCTTGGAGATTGACCAAAGAAATGCCAAAGCGCTGTTCAGGTGTGGCCAGGTGGGCAAAAAATAAATTCCTCTGGTAGCCACATCAAGGAATACACTGGTGTGACTGACTGTGAAGAGAACCTTGAGTGAACAGAGGAGAACCACTGAATTCTGGGCCAGGCCTCCTGAGCTGCTGCAGCAGATGAGGTGGTTTGTACACATCTGACCTTTTGGAGAATCTGGTGCTCTAAATCTGTCACACAGATCTTTTCATGGGGGATTCCTGTGTTACCTGGATCTGTCTCAGAAATGTTTGTGGTTGCTTGTGTTTGAGTCCTGAAGAGTGGCAGTGAGTCTGTATTTAACTTGTGATGTATCTGTCTTCTTTCAATGGCAGGCTTGTCTCTGCATGACAGAATACGAAAAAGCCCGGGATTTCCTGGCCAGAGCTCAGTGTATACAGCCTTTTAACCACGATATTAACAATGAGCTGAAGAAGTTGGCAAGGTGAGAGAACTCCTTCCCATCCCTCTGGGAGCAAAAATGCTTAGACAAGCTGGAACACCCACTCAAAAATACTTAAAATGTTTAAAAAAAAACCAAAACACAAAACTGTTGGGCCAGTGAGTGACTTGGGAAAATGTAGCTAATTTTTCTTAGTGTGGAGACAGCTGATTCAACCATTTTGCAGACACAGTGGTTACAGATGATAGGTGCGAAGCTGAGAGCACCCACTCTTTCTGTACAGTTTCTCTGGGGGGATTGGTGTGTTACACTCCTTGTGAGTAGGTAGGTCAGGGTGATGACAGAAAGACCAGGGGCTGCTGAAATGCCTCAAAACCAGTGAAATGCAGTAGGCTAGTGCTCAAGCTGATAATGTTCTGCATTAGTAAGTATGATTTTCATTCCCTTTGAGGTGAGTTGGTTAGTTACAGCAGCTCTTCTACACTGCAGGTGCTTCAGTGTGCAATGCTACAAATACTAACGTTCATTAAAAGTTAATTTCTTGCTGTGTTAGAGGTAGTAAGTGAGCAATCCTGAAGGGAAACTTTCCCTTTGTCCGCAGGCTGAGTTCAGCACAATCCTGCCAGCTTTAGTCATGCCCTAGCCCCACCAAAATATGACTAATGCTAGTCTCTGCCCTTATTCTGGTCTTCCCTTTGAAACTGGCAAAAGCATTAGCTGATTCCCAAAAGTGTGTGCTGTACTTCTGACACTGTTCACAGATGCAGAAGGTGATGCAGTCCCCAGCTTCGGAGATCACAAAGCAGCCCTTGAATACAAACCCTCTTCTTTTCTGTGTCACTGCTAGGCATTTGCGAAAAGGTTTGTAGGCAGCAGTAACATCTCTTATTAGAGTATTTGGTGTGGTTGGAAAAGCCAGTCTCATGAGCCGAGTGCCTTCACCAGGTAATGTTTTGGTAGAGGGCTGTCCTTGCACATTGATGTCCTGTATATCCAGATTGTATTTAATAGTCTGTGATAACAGCAAGTCTTCAGATTTGTTCTGTTGTTTCTGAAGTACAAAAAACTTGAAGGCAATATCGGCTGCTGGTCTGGAAATCTGCAATAAACCACTTCTGTTCATCCCGATCTGTCTCTGGGTACGAAGCTACCAAATTGCTAGGTGAGTGCAAGTAGCTATAAAATAGATTTGGATGGCTGGCTAGCTGCTCTTAGAGGCTTGATATGTGGGTAGTGTCAAAGACTCATGGTACAGTGCTAGATGTCCCGATTGTAGAAGCCTCGTGTGTTCCTTTAGACTCGTATGAAATACGTTGGCAGGTAAAAGAGAAATCTTGCTAGTAATGTTGAAGTTGTGCTGCCAGGAAGCAACAGGCATTCTGCCTTCAGGGAAGCAGCGGGCAGGCTTGTCAGCTCTGACTCTGGAGATAGCACGTACAGCTAACACGCGTGTCAGTAAGCTGAGTATGCATTAAACCCCTGTCATCTCGGAGTTTCCGCTTCAGTGCCAGTTAAAATTAATGTACTTTTTGCTTTTACTATGACAAAGAGTGGAATTAGTATAAAATAAATGGAGACAATGTTGTTGGGTGTTGTTAATTTTGCTATACCTCAGTCTAGATCCTGCAGTGCTGCCAAACTGCCTTGCCTGAGAAAACTCATAATGTGATCTGGCAAATGCTTCAGTAATGGAATATGAATCAAAAATTTTATTCTTAAAGGCTTCTAATTTCCTTACTGAGTACATTTCTACTGTTCAAAAAGGAACATTGTATGTTAATCAACAGCTACCTTTTGCTGTCTAGAACACAACTTCAAAAAGCATCTGTTTAACAGCTGAGCCAGTTTCTTGGCAAAATTCACTTCACTGAAGGAAAACAGGCAGAAACCAGGCTGAGGGTTTTGTGGAACACGTCTGGTATCAGCTGTAGTGGTCTAGTTGGTGCAAATCCTGCTGCTGGGTTTGACAGTTCTATTGGAAGGCTTGCATGGCATCAAATCCAGAACAAAATGGGGTTGTTTCGAGATCTGGCGTGAATCTGTGCCTCCAGATGAGGAGCTCTTGGATTTCCTGCTGTGGTAGGTGTGTGAGCATGCCATCCACAGTCTGTGTGGGCATCACTGTGTGGGCAGTTGTGGCAACATCTGCCTGAGACTTAAGAGAAGAGACTTTCTATGCTGGGATTTAACTGGACAAACCCCTTTGAGGTTCTGGACACAGGGGTGCTGATGGTAGGGTGCTGAGAGAGCATTAGCCAATGTTGCACTTGTGCTGTTTCTGGTGTTGCAACAAAAACCTTTGCTTTTGACCTTATATGGTAGCAAATGAAGGAAAGCTGACCATGTGGGCAGCCATTGATTGCTGGGATGGTGCCCAAACTGAGTCACCCTCTGGCTCAGTGATTCCTCACCAGTGAGACCTTGTTACTGGTGAGGTGAGAGCACAGGGTGCAGAGGATCCTGTGCCTGGAGAAGCAGTGAATAAAATGGAGCAGTCTGGGGAGCTTTTACCGTGCTAATGTGATGCTGGCAGGAAAGTGGGAATGGAGGAGGAGGAAGTATCTGCCCTGCCATCCACTTAGTCTGGACACAAATCCCTGCTGTCTACTATCCATGCTCTGCCCAGATTTGGTGTCAATGGTAGACATCCTGGAGTGGGGCACTTGGATAGTATCTCCTGCTAGGTGCTGAAAGATCTTGCACAAGGAGTAGCACAAATGAGGAGACATGAAACTAGACTACAGAATACAGGTGGGGCTTCTTCTGCATTGTCACATGCTTGCAAAACTGGTGTGGAAAGCATCTGGTTACCAAAAGTCAAATTATCTACTTGGCTAATAGTCACCAGCAAAGCAGAGACCCAAGGTCTCCAGAGGTGAGGCAGTGTTTCCAGCTCTCCTTCCCTGACATGGTGGAAAGAAGGGCTTGGAGGAGCTGTATCTTTGCTACTGGTACACTCTTGCATTAGGCCAATTTATTTATATAGAAGAAAGAACATCTGTTTTCTGGTTGTGGCACTGACGGTTGGGTGGGCAGTCCACAGCCCATGATACCATGCTGTGCTCTGTTTTACAGCTGCTACAAGAAGTACATGGAAAAGGAGAAAGAAATGTGCTGCCGAATGTTTAGCCACCTCAACTCTTCTTCTGGCTGATCAAAAGTAAAGGTAATCAAATTATGAAAGAGGCTGAGGTCTCCCAAAACTTCTGTCATGTCTGAACTGTTTTCAGGTGGGGAACCTCCTTCTCTTGTGCGTGGGAGGATTTTGGAAGCAAAATGTAAGGTAATGGGAGTGTGGAAGGGGGAAGGAGCAGGATGGTGGGGTGAAATGCTGCTACATTGTCAGTCTGGGGAATCTTTCCTGCGAGGCAAGCTGGTGTGGGACAGGAACCTGAAACTGGCAGCACTTGAGTAAGTTTGGTTTTGTTGTTTCCTGTGCTGCTCATCCCAGCTATTCCTTGTCAGTGCCAGGGGGAGAAATAGCTGTGTAGTCTTGCTTCTCTGCCAATTAAAAGAAACAAAAAAAAAATTGTTCCTGTCAAACTTAAGAATTGGATTTCCTCCTCCCCTCTAGCTCTCCTGTCTGGAGCTGTTGGAATGCCTCACTTCAGAAAAATCTAAATATTTTATTTCTGAGGTTTTTTAAATATTAAAAAACCTGTTTGTATAGAAAATTTCAAATAGCTGTTTTGAACTCTTTAAAGTGTTAAATCTTCTAGCAAAATTGATGAGTTTATAAATGCACAAAGGCTCTTTGATCATTCTGTGTTTGGGGTTTTTTTGTCAGAACCTTTGGGGGGCTGTAAAGGGAAGTGGAAATCTTCACTGGTCTCTTGCCTCAGGGTAAACCCTAGGGAAAGAGTTGTGGAAAATGACAGCAGCCTTCTGTCAAAAAGCATCACTAGCTCAGGGCCATCAGAGTTTGCTGTCACTCTCTCTCATGCAATATTGGCAGCCTTTCCATCAGTAGCAGTGTGAGTGCAGGGTGCAGGTCTGGTATTTTAAGGCTGGCTCTTTTGTCTGTGCTTGTGAGGAAGCTAAGGTAGTTGAGGAAGAGGTCTGAGTGAACAGCCGCTTCCTAAAGCAACACAACCTTCTCTGGCTGGATGTGGCTCCCTGCTGTTGTCTTCACCCTCCTGCTGCCCCTGTTGCTGGATGGCTTCAGAGCACAGATTCTTGTGCACTGGGTTCAGGATGAGACTGATCACATCTGTCAGCAGGTACCTACCCCTAAGCAAGTATCTGTGAAAGGGGATTTAAGACTGATGAGTGGTCTTGTCAGTGTGTGAGGAAGTCTGTGTCTCTGGACTTGGCAAGGAGGTTCTCATTCTTCACTTGCTGAATTTGAGACTTGCAGTTTGGAAGCCTGTAGGACTTGGGTCTCGTGTCTGATGGTAGTATGTAGCAGTGCCTGATCTGGGAAGCTTCTTGTGTTGATCTGTACATCAGCTGGCCCTGCTTTGTGGTGGGAACTCTGAATGAATGTGATGATCTGCTGGGTCACCAGACAGGTCCTCCGCTGATAAGGTTGTCTGGCCTCTTGTTTCCCAAAAAGCAGTTTGCAAAGATGCTGATTTCCACATAGTTGGTGTAATGGCATATAGCTGCTGTTGTAAGTAAAACAGTGTCTTCAGTTGGAGACTGAGAAGTGCGAAGGGGAAGAGCAAAAGAGAAACCTCTGCTGGAGGCAAGCTTAAAGATTGGGCTGAACTGTTCATCAGCCAAAGTTTCTCCACTGACTTCTATGGACATGTACAGTGCTTTCCTGGAGTTATTCTGCCTTACACAGCTGATGGACAGCTGTCAGTCAAAAAGATTTCTAGCCTTTGAAGTTGATTTTAGTTACAGTATTAAAAAGAAACTAAGTCTTCCAGACAAACACAAATCACTGAGACCTACACAAGAATCTACTGTTAATTCATTGCGAGAAAAATCCCTGGCTGGAGGAGGTTCCTGCAGGGCAGGGCCTTGTGCTAGCTGGAGGTTGGTTTGTTGCTGCATCTTGCTTAAGAACTTCATTACATATTCAGAGAGGAGCAAAGCAGTTCCAACTGGAGCTCCTGCTCTCTATCAGAGGCATCACTAATTAGTCCGACTTGAGGCAGAACATTCTTTGGTGGTTTCTGACAACTTTGTACGAGTTCAGTTTAGGGCACAAGATGTACTCAGTCAGTCTGGCAGGCTTGCTTCATCCTTTCTGTCTTAGGCATTGAGTGAGTAGATGGCCTGTGAACAACTGCCTGTAGCTCATGTGTAATGATCCAGTGGAATTACAACAGTTATGGAAAACTTTCCCATATACCAGCTGGCAATTGCTTGTTAAGCGTTGACCTGACCTGAAGTCCAGCTTACCAGCTAAATGACTCGGAGCTGTAATTGTGCCATTTTCTCCCTCCTGAAATGCTGTTGCATCCATTCCCCTACTTCAGAGCTCCTTCCCAGGTGGGTTTGCTAGACCTTTTGGTCACAGCAGTGACCTTGTTAGAGATAAATGCTTCGTTTCCTGTACTGAATAATCCAGGGCTGTATGTTTTGCATAATGACACTCAAACCCAGACACACTTGAGTATCTTCATTCAGCCTGGTATTTCTCTATCCCTCTTATTGTGGAGTCTTAATTCCTCTAACTGCCACAAACAAATTCTTGCTCAGAATACACTTTTTCCTTTTTAACAGAATTTCATGTCAGAATAAATCTTCACTTTGGTGAAATCCAAGGTCACTTGTGATGTTTTCTGGAGGAATTCAAAAATACTCAGAGGGATAAATAGAAGCATGAACACTTTCTTAAATCCATCCTGCTGCAGATCCTTGCGAACAGTTCCTTGGCTTGGGTCTAGTGCTTGCCCCTCTTTGGGTTTGGGCCTCTATACACTTTGTGTGGTGTGGACATGTCCAGTCAGGTTACCTGGGATTTGCATATCTGAAAATCCTCCTCAGTGCACCCTAAATTGCCGGATGGCCTGGCTGAGGATCACTGGCTTATTGGGGCTTTTTGTTCGTTCTTCTTTGAAAGACGTGGCAGAAAAAGCAATTTTTTTTATCATTGTAGTGCTGTGATCCTTCATAAGAGAACTTAATCATGAAGGGTGGGGACAAATTCCCTAGAAATGTCTGGATTGTAGTACAAGGTCCTTGGTAATAGTTTTACCACAAAAAGATGTGTGTCTGAGATGTTTTGTTTTTTTTTTTTTTTTATTATAGGTGGGCCAGAGTTGAAAGCTTGCCTCTAATGTGTATCTGCTCAGTACACAGGAGAAATGCTCTCCGTAGTTGAGAGCACACAGGGAAGTATTCCAGTGAAAACAAACAATGCTGAAATTATGGCAGGAAACTATGACTCTCAGGTCAAACTTGAGATGGCTACTAATAACAGGGTCTAGCAATTCTGAAGCCATTAATTGGTGAGAATTGGCTGCAGAACTAGGGTTGTGTCACCAGGTAGAAGTGACTATAATTGGGCTTAGAACCATCAGCAGTTGCCAGTTAAACTGACCTAATAAGCTGAAGCAGACTTGCAAATAAACTGAGAGGTATGTGCGTAACACAGTCAGAACTCCTGCCTAGGGAAAGCTTCAGACTTTGAGTAAACAGCAACTTGCTCCTTCCCCTCCTGCTCTCCCTTATTACGAGCAGATCTAAAATGTGCCTCCTGCTGATACTGGCCCTCCCTGCTGTGTAAAGCTGAACAACGGAGAGCTGGCAATTTAATTTCTCCTTTAGAATATGCAAATTATTGAACCACCGAGATGTCCTGCGCTGCGAAGGAAATTGTTAAATATAAGTTTTATGCTGAGCATTGCTGGAGCAAGTGGGAAGGCTTGAAGGATGACTTAATTAAGCACTCTTCTTGATAAGCAGAAGAAGGAGAAAAGCTTTAATAAGGTTGTTGGATTAGTTTTAGGGTTTTTTTGCTTTCCCTCCAGCCCTCTCCTCTTCTAGCATTTTGCTTTTTTTCAGAGGAGTTCTGCCGTTCATGCCTGCAGTAGTACCTGTAATACCTCTCTGAAAGATTGGTGGGCTGGGGTCCCTTCTAGAACCTGTCAGTGGAGAAATGACTGCACCACCTCTGCTTAGGGATACCATGACATGATATCATTCCCAGTCAGGTGTGCTGGGTGTGGGACCCTGCTTTGAATGCACCAGTGGGGGCTTTGCCCAGACCAGGAGGTCCAGCCTGGGCTTAGAAGTGAAAAGATGATGTGAAATGGAAAGGAGGAGACCACTGCAATATCTCAGTGCCCTACCGTGCCTGTCCTCCAAGGCACTGGTGAAGTGATGGCTCTCCAGCCTCATCAGAGGACTGCCTTGGGGCCCAGCCCAGGTCCATCCTCTCTAAGACTTGGCAAGTGTCTAAAGCCTGGGGTTCCCCTTTGTGTGCTCAAACATGAAGCTCCCAGGTGAGGTAGGAGTGGGTTCCTGGCTGGATTTCTCAAGCTCCTGTCTGCCTGAGGCCACCCAGCACACTTGCCCTGGAAAGGACAGGCTGAGCCCCGCAGTGAATACCCCTGTGCAGGCTTTTATTTCTCGGAGCTTTTGCCAGGCTGCTGTTACAAATTAGAAGAGAGTGGAAAAGATGCTGGGTTCTTTTCATTCCCATGATAATACTGTCATGCAGGTAGAGTTTAAAGAGAATAATCTATGTGTGAGATGTGAATTTCTTTATGAAGGAAGTTTCAGTTTTGCAGAGCATTCGGCGTTACTGGCCTTCACTTCCAGCAGCAAGGAGATGCGTGGTTATTTTAAGGTTTTCTCTGAAGTATCATTTTTAAAGTCTTCTTTCTCCACCCCTCCTGTTTCAGTTGTGATAAACTATATAAGTGTAAGTAAAAATGTTTTGTTACCCTGACTGGTGAAAAGGCAAATTGGATAAACCTACACCCAAGTAGGTAGTGACCACACAGATTTTGGATGGGAGCCTGCTGCAGGTGCCTGTGACTCCTATGCCTGGATCAGGTTACAGCTTAGCTGTGCTGGTAGCTGAGGCACAGAAGTCCCCAGTGCTAGGCTTTTGGTCCTTGTGGCATTACAGATGGTGGTAAGCAGCTCTCCCTGGGTTCTTGCCAACCCAGGCAGAACTGGCATGCCTGCCCACCAGTCCTGCTGATCTGGGGTGCTCCAGACTGAACTAGCAGAAGAAATGTCTTTATCCTATCTCTTTTTATT